GCGGGGAGTGGGTGCTGGGGCCATGGAGGGGCCTGGGCCGCTGGCCTGTCCCTGGAGAACACCTGTGCACCCCCTGCTCCTTCACCGTCACTCATTCTCCTGCTGCTCACGGCTGTGGGTCAGGGGCGCCCAGGCCGCAGGGCACAGACCCAGAGGAGAGAGACGTCCCTGAGCTGCTGCGTCAGGGCGGGCTCCCCAGAGGAGGTGTGTTGTCCTGGGCCTGGAGGGCGGAGGGGAGGGCAAAGGCGGGGACAGGTGGGAGCACGCGTGCCCGGGGACGCAGAGAGCCACAGCGCGGAGAGGGACGGGAGGCGCGGCTGCCGCTCCGAATGGGGCCTGGACACAGGTGCCGTCCGCTCCACGGGCCGTGGTCGGCATTGCGGACAGAGGGGACAGCCCGGGGCCTCCTGGTCATCCCCTGCCCCGGACACAGCTGGCCACCGGGTGACAGGGGAGCCTCTGGTCACCAGGGATGGGGCAGGGGCCGCTGGGTCCTCCTCAGGGATGGTCCGGGGCTGGCAGTGCCCGGCCGGCGCTGCGGGTGAAGTGGGCCTGCGGGCTGCCTGGGCCTCGGTTTCCCCTGCTGTCCCCTGGCCATCCTGACGTCCGTGAGGCCCCGAGCCCCCCGGAAACCGGCAGGGACAGGCAGGTGGCGTCCAGCCCGGCTCTCGCTCCCTCCCCTCGCCGCGGCCCTTCCTCCCCCGGGAGGCACCTCAGGACACGGCCTAATGGCTTTTCTATGTCAGGTTCCTCCAGACTGAACCGCCCGAGGCCTGTGGATTCGTTTATTTTTGAGGAAAAAAATGCTAACAGCTGAGTCTGGCGGAGCGGGCTGTTGACTTCAGAACGCTGGCTCGAGGACGGGTGGGGGCGGGGTTGTCCAGACCCCCGAATAAACAAGCAGCCTGCTCCCAGCCAGCCCGGCCCACGGTTTTCATGTGGAAAGGGGCGGTGGGAACCCAGTCCTCCCCTCCCACTGATTCACGGGGTGACTCACCCCTGCGGGGAGGAGGGCCAGGAACCAGGCCCTGCCCACCCCCCAGCACCCCCCCCCCCCATCGGCTTAAAGGGACAGGGCCTGGCAGAGCCCCTGTCACCAACCGGCTGACCGGGGAGCCCCGAAGAGGTGCTCCAGGTCTGGGGTCTGGGAGGGCTCAGGCGCCGAGGTCCCCACCCCGCGCCCATCCATCTCCACCCCCAGCCTCTGTTTCCCGGGACGTGAACTGGCCATGATGCTGCTCCCGCAGGCCGGTCCTGCAAGGCCCGGTTAGTGGGCTGGCCGTGGTTCTCGTGGTGGTGTGGTGGTGTTTGCAGCCCTACTGTGTGCTGGGCCCGAGGGGGTCAAGAGGAACATGCCCCTCCCCCTGCCCCTCCCTCTCCTCCCCGCTCCTTCCTTCCCATCTTTCTGAAGTGTTTCCAGAGGCTTCCATGGGCCCTGCCTGTGCTGCTTACTCGCTGCCTGTGGGGAGAACCAGACTTGTCTCTGTCCAGAAGGAGCATGTTGGTGACTCCCTGGAGCTCCTGCAGCCCCACAGTGTCCGGCCTTGCCCGCCAGCCGGGGACAGGGTGCCACAGTGCCCGGCCCTACCCGCCAGCTGGGGACAGGGTGCCACAGTGCCCGACCTTGCCCGCCAGCTGGGGAGGGGGTGCCACAGTGCCCAGCCTGCCTGCCAGCCAGAGAAAGGGTGCCACAGTGCCCAGCCTGCCCGCCAGCTGGGGACAGGGTGCCACAGTGCCCAGCCTGCCCACCAGCCAGAGAAAGGGTGCCACAGTGCCCGGCCTGCCCGCCAGCTGGGGACAGGGTGCCACAGTGCCCGACCTTGCCCGCCAGCCGGAGACAGGGTGCCACAGTGCCCGACCTTGCCCGCCAGCCGGGGACAGGGTGCCACAGTGCCCAGCCTGCCCACCAGCCAGAGAAAGGGTGCCACAGTGCCCAGCCTGCCCGCCAGCCGGGGACAGGGTGCCACAGTGCCCAGCCTGCCCGCCAGCCGGGGACAGGGTGCCTCAGTGTCCGGCCTGTTCTGTCTGCGCCCCAGCCCCGGCCTCTGCCAGGCCCTCCTCTCCGCTTCCCTACTTTTGCGGGTATATCTGCGTATGTTTGCCCCTGGTAGGTCCTTCGGAAAGTCCATGAAAGACAAGCTTCCTCGTCACCCGCCTTCCCCCGAAAACCCACGTGCACTACTTTGCTGTGTGGCCCGAGGCCTTTTCCCTCGGGCAGTGCGAGGGCCACCTTTGTGAAGTCGCTGCAGGTACCACTGAGCCGCCCTGCTTCAAGTGCTCTCTGGAGGGACCACACTGAAGGAACAGCACTTGGCTGAGGCCGCCGTGCCGCCTGGTTCTCAGGGCACCGGGTCAGGACCTCAGCCGCCGGTACAGCGTGCGGACTCCCTGGACCCGAGGGACCCGGCGGGGGAGTGTGTGTGTCGGGGGGCGGGATAGAGGTGCCTAAGGGGCTCCCGGCCCGGGTGGTGGAGCCGCTGAGCCCAGGATCAGGCCACGTGATCGTGTGCCGTTGTTTGATGAGACATTTCATCGTCTTGTGCTGTTCACACGGGGCCCGGGGCAGAGGATCCGCACCCATTACCTTTGTGCGAGAGGCTGGGTCTGCGTGCGCTGTTCCGCGGCCTGCGCTGTTCCAGGCCTGGGCCGGGCGCACCCCGGCTTCCCTTGGCTCCGTCACTGGCCACGCTGCGGAGCGTGGCTGGCCGCGGCCTGTAGCAGCACGGGGCGCACGGAAGGCGTTCAGCATGAAGGGCTGAATACACGGCACATGAGCACCAGCGCTGGGGGAGGCATGTGTGGGAGCCCCACGCAGGGCACTCCGGACGGGGAGAAGTCTGTGGAGGGCTGCCTGGAGGAGGTGGGTTTGAGCAGTGCCCGGGACAAGCTGGGGCCGCCTGTTTGGGGAGAAGTGGGGCGTGGTCCTTGCACTGGGGGCAGAATGGTGGGCGATGGAGCAGAAACTCCAGCAAGGGGCCCAACTGGTGACACAGGCGGGAGGGGTGACCCCGGCCCCCCACCAGCATAGCTCAGTGGGCTGAACCTCGGGCTGGGATAAGGCAGCCCCGGGGTACGCTGGGAGAGCTGCAGACCTCACCACCCCTCCCGCGCCAGCCGGGTTTGGGGTCCTCCAGGGCCCGGGCATGGGGACCGCCTGGTGGGGAGCGTCTTGGAGGAGACAGAGCCTGGACAGGCAGTGGGTTCAGGGCTGGTTCCTGTCCTGCCTGGAGGCTGGAGCCTGAATCTGGGTCCCGGGGCCCCGGGCAGTGGTGAGAGCTGGGCCGGGGGCAGGCAGCGTCGCCTTCAGCGGTGCCGGGAGGATTAGCGATCCTCCGTGGAAGCACCCTCTGAGACCTAGGTTGCTGGGAGCACAGAGCCCTGGCCCCCAGTGGGCCCTGTTCCTGGGCTGGCCGTTACCATGGCCTCTGAGCCTCAGACCCGCCCCACCTGGGGCTGGCCTCTAGGCAGAGGGCTCCTGGGCACCATGGCCCCTGGCTGCCCACCTTTGGCTCATGGAGGAGCCGGCAGTGGCTGGCAATGCGCCCCACCTCCTAGCCAGGTTCCAGCCACCCGGACAGGCAGCCTTTGATTCAGGCCGACCGCAGCGGGCCGGACCCTCTGTGGCCAGTGCCCGCGGCTGCTGGAGACAGACATCGAGGGATGAGGGGGGCCCTCCTCACCACCCCGGACCCCAGGACTGAGGCCAGCTCTCCTCCAGGCTCTGTGTCCCAGATCAGACGTAACGGGCAGGGGGGCCTTGGGGACCCTAGGGAAGGGAGCCTGCTTCCGCCCTCACTAAATGTGCGCCGTCCTCTCGTGGAACCTCGGTGTCCCCACTTTGAAAACGGGCCGTCCCTGCTGTCCCTGAGCGGCTGGGACATTAGTGGGGACGTGGGGAGGGACCGCGTTTCCCGCAGACGGTGTTTATGGCTCCGCTGCAGGCTGCCTGCTCCCTGCTCTCCCTGCTGCGCTCGCTGCCCCTCGCTGCCCTCGGCCTCCCCGCGCTCGGTCGCTCCCAGAGGTCATCAGGGCTGATCCGCATGAGGCTCTGCGAGCCGCGCCCCCTTTGCTCACCATCAGGGTGGCAGGGCGTGGTAGCATCGCCCCCCCCCCCCCACCCCAGGCAGGGAAGCTTCCCTCAGCGCAAGTCCTGTTCCCACCCGGTCCCGCAGGTGGGGGAGGGGTCTTCAATCTCATCTTCAGACCAGGAGTTGAGGCCCAGAGAGGGTAAGTGATTTGCCTGAAGCCACACAGCCGGGACGTGGTGCCGCCTAGCCAAGCCGGGGTGTGCGGAGCTCAATGCCCAGTGCTCCTTCCGGGCCAGGACCAGCGAGAGCAGTGCTGGGCCACTCGGGTTCCAGAGGGCGCCGGTCCTGGCAGACCCAGCACATGCCTGGGCCTTGCCTCCAGTTGTGGTCCCAGAGGCAGCAGCCCCCCTCTGCTGAGGCAGCAGAAATCTGAGCGGGGGAAGGATCCAGGGGAGTGTGTGAACCTCCTGGCAAGTCCGGCGGCGGTGCAGCCAAGTGAACTGCAGATGGAGGCCAGGAGGGGCCCACAGTGTGGTGACCAGGGACAGCTCTGGCGGGAGGACCCTCATCCAGTCAGGTTGGCGGCGGGACAGCGCCGCAAAGGGAGGGACGGTGTCCTTGTGCCAGGGCATTGCTGTATATGGCAGAGCAGTGGTCCCACGGGGACAGCCCAGACCCACCTGAGTGGCACATCACGGCTGTGCAGCCCAGAGCAAGTGTCCCAACCTCTCTGAGCCTCCTGGCCGCCTGGCAGCACCTGGGGAGGTGATGTGAGGACGCGCAGCATTAACACTTCTTGGGGTGAGCGAGTGCCCTTCCCCGTGTCTGGGTCACTGCGCTGCCGAGTGTCCTGAAGGGCTCTGAACCCGTTGGGGGGTCCCCGGTGGAGCGTCCCCCTCCCCACCCACCCGGGGCAGGCCCTGGGCAGTGTGTAGGGCTCACTAACGCACCGTGTTCTTCCTGCCAGTGTAGGTCTCCACCAGCTGACCAGCCCGCGGTACAAGTTCAACTTCATCGCCGACGTGGTGGAGCAGATCGCCCCGGCCGTGGTGCACATCGAGCTCTTCCTGAGGTGGGTGACCCCCCCCCCCTCCTGGGTCCCAAGCTGGCCTCCACTCTAGCCCTGGGGCAGTAGCAGCCGGAGTGGGCTTGGGGTCAGATGACCTCACCCGACTCCTGGCTGCCGTGTACCCTTGGGAGGGACGTCCCCCTGGGACTTGGATCCCCTCTCCGGGGGAACGGACGGCAACCCCCCACCTCGCAGAGCTGCAGGCGCCAGACCGGGGCACAGTGGGCGGGGCTGTGGTTCTTTCTTTCATTCACGGCCAGTTCTCTGGAGCAGCTCCTACGGGTTTATATCTCAGAGAAGCCATTTGTAAAGCCTAGAGTAGTGGTTGTCAACCTTCTGGCCCTTTATATACAGTTCCTCATGGTGTGACCCAACCATAAAATGATTTTCGTTGCTACTTCATCACTGTCATGCTGCTACTGTGATGAATCGTCATGTAAATATCTGATATGCAGGATGGTCTCAGGCGACCCCTGTGAAAGGGTCGTTCGACCGCCAAAGGGGTCGCGACCCACAGGTTGAGAACCGCTGGCCTAGAGACAGGATCACCACAATCCCGGCCCCGGCACAGGGCCCGGCTCGCTGGGTGCCACGCTTGCCCAGTGGGAGCCCTGGTCACTGGGGGCCACTGCCCATCTCTGGGGGCAGGGACGGGGCTCCGTGGGGCCAGCGGACAACAGGCGGAGCCCAGCGCCGTGGGAAGAGCAGGGCTGGGCACCTCCTGTGGGCTGGGCTTGCCCGCTCTTCTCAGCCAGCCTGTGCGGCCCCTCAGAGAGCGAGCCAGGCCCAGGCCCCCTCACGGCCTGCACCCGAGGCCCTTCCGCTCTCGCCCACGCATCTTCCCACGACCCCGGGGTGGGCTGTCCCGGCCGTTTCCTGCTGTGGGAGCCAAGCCCGCACACCCCGGCCTCCGAGCCGCTGGGACTCAGGTCGGCCCTCAGGCCGGCCCGGCCCCCGGCCGCACTCTGACCCCTCCCTGCCCTCTCCGATGTGTCATTGAGGAAGTGACCACTGGCCGCGCTCAGTGGCACTGGCGCCGAGTGCCCGGCCCGCAGGCGGCGAGGACAGCGAGGCTGTGGAGGCCACGGAGCGGAGCTTCCGGGCAGCTGGCCGGCGGCAGGGGCCGGAGGCGGCGGGAGCAGGTCCCCACCGCAGTGCGTCCCCTTGTCCCGCAGTCAGAGGCCAGGAAATGCCTTCCCGGGGTCCCCGCCGGTGAGCGTCCCCGCGGCAGACACGTTAGTGCTTCTTCCTCTGCCCACAGCAGCCCTGCCTGAGGGCCCACCGCCCCAGGTGCTGCAGGCCCCGGGCCCACCGCTGAGCCGAGCAGCGGTTACCCCGGCTCCTGGGTGGGGGACCGGGGCTCAGGGAGGTTCAGCGACCCGCCCTCCGGCAGGGAGTGGGCTGGGCTGGCGGTTAGGATCCGGGTCTGTCCGGCTCGCGTCCGGCTGTCTGCGCAGCGAGCGTGCCGCCATCACAGGTCTGACACTACGGCCGTGTCTCACTCGCAACTGCAAGCCGGGGATGAGGCCCCTCCGTGGCTGTCCCGTGGGTGAGACCCAGGGCCACGGCCAGTCAGTGGCAGAGCCAGGACTTGGACTTGGGCGTGGGGGACCCCAACTCAAGTTCTCTCCTCCACGCTGGCTGGGCCGTCACCGGGGCCGACCCTGCATCCAGGCCCCGAGCCCTGACCCCGCGCGTCTGCCCCGCAGACACCCGCTGTTCGGCCGCAACGTGCCCCTGTCCAGCGGCTCCGGCTTCCTCATGTCCGAGGCCGGCCTGATCGTCACCAACGCACACGTGGTGTCCAGCACCAACGCCGTCTCAGGCCGGCAGCAGCTCAAGGTGCAGCTGCAGAACGGCGACACCTACGAGGCCACCATCAAAGACATCGACAAGAAGTCGGACATCGCCACCATCAAGATCCACCCCAAAGTGAGTGGCGTGGGGGTGGCAGAGCGGCGGTGGGGGGAGGGGGGACGGGGGGCGGGGAGGGGAAGGGAGGGACCTGTCCGGCCTCCGGAGCGGAGAGGCTCGGCAGCCCGGCCTTCCCGTGGACAGCTGCGGGGAACGAGGCCCGGGGACCAGCTGTTTGTCCCCTCACGGGTCACGTCAGACGAGCGCGAGGCTGCCTCCTGCTGGCCCGGAGCTGGGCTGCCACAGTCGCTGCCTCACGGGCTCCTCAAGGCCCAGGGCACTGGTCCCCCCGGGGCCGCTGCGGGGGCGGGATGGGGGCCTGGGCTCCTCCAGAGCCCGAGGATTCCAGGACTGCGGTTGCAGGTCCTCGGCCGGGCCCCGGGCTCCCGCAGGTCCCTCCATCGTGCGCCTCAGTTTGTATGGGGGGCACTCTCGGGGGGTGGCGTCCATAGCTTCTCACAGATTTGCAGAGGGACCTGTGACCAACCAATGGGCTCGATGGCCTCTGTGCGCCCCCCTCCCAGTGAGCCCTGGGAGGCCTGCGGTCACGGGGGGTGAGCCTCGGCTCCGTGGGTGCTGCCTGGGTCAGCTGGAGGCCGCCCGGCCTTAGTCTGGCCTCGGTCTTCACGCCGCTTCTGGGGGCCCGGCCGTGTCCCGAGCCAGCGTGCGCCCCTAGCCTCCCTCCGTGTCGCCCCCCCTCTCCCCCCAGAAAAAGCTCCCGGCGCTGCAGCTGGGCCACTCGGCAGACCTGCGTCCCGGCGAGTTCGTGGTGGCCATCGGCAGCCCCTTCGCCCTGCAGAACACCGTGACCACGGGCATCGTCAGCACGGCCCAGCGGGACGGCAAGGAGCTGGGCCTGCGGGACTCGGACATGGACTATATCCAGACGGACGCCATCATCAACGTGAGTCCTCCGCGGCCTAGCGGGCTCGCCCCTCCCCAGAGCCCCCCCCACCCCTCACGTCCACCGGCTAGAAAATCCCGTGGTGCCGGTCTGCCCGGGGTCCGTGGCCCCTGCCCCACCTGGGGCCAGCCCTTCAGGACACAGAGGCACAGCCACGCCCCTGAGTTATCTTTGCGCAAACTGCACCCCCAGGCCAACGTGTCTTCATTCTTAGGAGTATAAGGGTGGCACCTTTGCGCCCACGAAGCACGTTGCCCCATGCCCCAGCGCCCGCCCCTCTGGGTCTGCCGTGGTTCAGGCCACCTGCTGGAAATGTTAGTTTCTGTCGTGGCTCCTCAAGGTCTCAGGATGAGAACTCGTGTCCCATCCCGTGGCCGCCCCGTGCTGCCCAGCCCCCGAGTGGCGGAGACATGGAAGCGAGCGTGGCGCGAGCCTGGACGTTTGTGCTGAGAGCACTGCCCGGGCCAGACCCGGTCATCGGACGGCCGTCCGCTTGGCCTCTGTGGGCCTCAGGCTTCTTATCTGTGAAATGGGGACGTGGCGAGGCCTCTCCTGCTGCTGGGGATACACTGGCTCCGTCTGTGCTGTTAGTGTGAGAGCTGACGGCAGTGCCTCGGGAGTGCTGGGTCGGGGTTCAGGGCTCGGCTAACATTGCATCTCTCCCCTGCAGTACGGGAACTCCGGGGGACCCCTGGTGAACCTGGTAAGTGTCCCCCAGGACCAGAGGGCAGGCTGCTGGTTCACTGGAGCTCCGCTCACAGGAGGGGGCACGTCTCAAGACAGGGATGAGGGTCAGGAACGCAGCTGGGCTGGAGGCCAGGAGGACGTGACCCAGAGCTCCTGCCGCCCTGAGCCCCCGCCCCCAGGAACGCGGGAGGCTGCCCAGGAGCAAGAGGGCCCGGGAGCAGCCCAGGCAGGGGTGCCCATCAAGGACCTGGGGCAGGAGACAAGGCTGGGGCCAGACATCCGTTGCACCTTCCTGTCCTTGAGTTTAAGTGCAAGATGAGGGGTGTTCTCATTCCCTCTCCCTCCTCCCAGGTCCCCTCCCCCAGGTCTGTCCTGGGCCCCACAGTCAGGCTCATTCCCACCCGGGTGAGACTTCAGGATAAACCAGGAAGCTCAGTCCATAGCTCCAGGGCCCTGGGAATTGTCAGGTGTCTCCAGGGGGGGTCCCCACTGTGGGGGGAGGGTCCCCACATGGTCACTCCCAAGTGCACGTGAGGGGCAGGGAGCGAGCTCTGGACGGACGCCGGGCAGGGAGGGCTTCCTGGAGGAGGGGGCCCTGACCTGGTGGTGGAGACTGAGGTTGGGTGGATGGGGACATGCAGGAGAAAGGAATTCAGGGAGCGGCACAGCCCAGGCCGGTGGGGCCCCAGCCTGTGGGGGTCAGGACGGGGTCAGGGTGGGAGGCCTGCTCCAAAGGGAGGGAAGAGGGAGTGGGGGTGCTACAGAGTTTCCCTGGCCCCCCTCTCCCCCACCCTGTTTCCAGAGGAAGGGGGAGAGGAGGACCTGGTCCCCCAGTCCTTGTCACACCCTCTTTCAGCCTCAGCCCCTCAGAACCCTGCCTGGGGGGCCCAGGGTGAGTGGGCACTGCTTCCAAGGGGCAGCTAGCATGCTCCGGCGAGGGCGAAGGGCAGATGTGGAGGAAACGGTGGGAGAATAGAGGGCCCCTGACCCAGATGTGAGCCCCAGGGCACCTCCAGGACAGCCTCTGGGCCCCAGGGACTCCGGCGGGAGGACGGCCAGGGCGGCTCTGGGGCTGGACACAATGTTTTGCATTGAGGGCAGCAGCTTCTTGGGCCCCAGAGTGATCGCCCTCTGCTCTCCCCACACCCAGGACGGTGAGGTCATTGGCATCAACACGCTCAAGGTCGCCGCTGGCATCTCCTTCGCCATCCCCTCGGACCGCATCGCGCGCTTCCTCACCGAGTTCCAGGACAAGCACGTCAAAGGTAGAGCCCCCAGGGCTGGCGGGGCCGGACGCTGTGCCTCCGGGGGCAGCTGCCCTCCGTGCTGGGGGCCCCCGCTCACTCCCGGCCGGCCCCGAGGTCCTGAGCCTCAGCCTCTCTCAGATCTTCCTCCCCCTCCTCACTTCATGGCCATGTGCACTCCCCACCCCTCCAGACCAGCTGGGGACCTCTGACCTACCTCCCGCCTCCAACTACCTGTGTCTGAGCTGCTCCGTAACTGTCAGAACCTGGTCCGTCCTTCCTTCCACCCACCCACCCATCCACCCACCCACCCACCCATCCATCCTTCCATCCACCCACCCATCCATCCTTCCATCCATCCATCCATCTTCCACCCATCCACCCACCCATCTACCCTCCCACCCACCCACCCACCCACCCACCCATCTACCCACCCACCCACCCACCCATCCATCCTTCCATCCATCCATCCATCTACCCACATATCCATCCATCATCCATCCATCCACCCGTCCATCTACCTATTCATCCATCTATCTACCCATCCATCCATCTACCTATTCATCCATCCATCCATCCATCCATCCATCATCCATCCACCCATCCATCCATCATCCACCCATCCATCCATCATCCACCCATCCATCCATCCATTCATTCATCTACCTATTCACCCATCCATCTACCCTTCCTACCATCTATCTGCCCATCCCTAAGTACTTCTTTCTGCCCTTGGCCATGCAGACTGTCAGGTAGGGTAACCTGTACTCCAGGAGAGTGGAGCCCAAGCCCCTGATCCTTGGCAGTCTCCCTCCTGCCACCCTCCATCTCCTCACCCCCATCCCACAGGGATGTCCAGCCCACCCTGCTCACTTACGGGTGGCCAGGGGCATCCACCTGGGAGAGGCCTGGATAGGCACCGGTGACTCTCCCCAGGGAGCGCAGGCTAATCGCCTCCCTAAAGCCAGGGGCCACAGCCGCCGTCCAGAGGAGGGTCCTACTGCTGCTCTCAGACCTCCTGGTGGCCACCTCCCACCTTCCTTCTCAGCCCAAGTGCACGTCTCCCTCCCGCCACTTCGTCCCTATGCCCACTCCTGGCCAACCTGGCTGACACCTGCCCAGCCCCGGTCCGCACGCCTTCACGCTGCTTCCCTGTCTCCTCCCGGCCCTCTCACCAGCGCACGGAGAGCAGGGGCTCCGCATGCTTGCCCCTCCCCCAACCCTCGGCCACCCAGCACCCAGAGCCCCTACAGCCCAGGCCAGTGCCCTGAGGACTGGCCACGGGAAGTCCTGCTGTTGAGGACTCCTGGCCCCTCCGTGTCCCTTGGGTGACGATAGCCCGGAGGCAGGGCAGGGCCAGAGCTGGAGGCTGCTATTGGTGACAGGGACCGTCTATCTAACCGCCCGAGCCCTCTCCCCCTGGGCTGCTCCGAAGCTCGGAACCGGACCGGGGCCGCGCCTTCGCAGCCCTCGTAGCCTTGGCTCTTTGTCTGCTGGTGGAGCCTTTTCTGAGCCGTTGCCTCCTGCACCCGGGGAGCCTTTGGCCTGGGCCATCTCCCTGGAGCTGCACTTCGCAGAGGGGGCTGGGGGACGACTGTTGGGGGTTTGATGGGTTCGTTGACTCTAGTCGGTTTGGGGAGGGCTGTCATTGTGGCAACACTGCATCGTCTGCCCCGTGAACACAGACTGGCCCCATGGCTTCTCGGCCGTGGTCTCCGGCCGTGGTCTCTGGCCGTGGTCTCCCTCCGTGGTCTCTAGTTCTCCACGTGCGGGCCTTACCGAGTGTTCGTCAGCTTGAGTCCTAGATACTTCACGTGTTTGAGGCTCTCATCAGGGGTACATTCTTTCAGATTTCAATTTCTGATCGTTACTAGAACCACAATAAAACTGCTGCTGTGTGTGGGCCTTAAGAGACCCGGCACCCTGATGATTCGCTGATGCGGGGGCGTGGTGCCTGCAGGTGCAGGGGCGTGAGGCCACCAGACGGCCCGGACTGCTCCCAGCCTCAGGAGTAGCTCAGAGGAGGGGGCGCGGGGGAGTGGGCGCGGGGCGGGGCTGGCGGGCAGGATGGCACAGCCCGCTGCTCCTGTGGGGCTTCTGCCCCGCCCCGCGCCCCCTCCCCTGAGGGTCTAACGGAGCCGCCCCGTTTCAGACTGGAAGAAGCGCTTCATCGGCATTCGGATGAGGACCATCACTCCCAGGTGAGTCCTGGCAATGCTCCCCCTGCTGCGTCCCTAGTGGCCCAGCCCGGCCAGGTCAGGCGGGCGCCTGCGGGTGCCCCGGGGCCCACCCCGAGGGCGCTGGGCGTTGCTCAGGCCAGGCCCTCTGCCTGCAGCGCTTCTCCCCTTTGCCGGAGAGACTCCCTCGGACTTGACTTCCCTCGGTGCCCCTCCTCCAGGAAGCCTCCGGGTTTAGGCTCCGGTAGCTGCCGTAGCAGAGTCCCACACGCTGGGCTAAAACTGACAGGACGTCCGTGTTCTCTCCGTCCTGAGAGCCGGAAGTCCACACCCAAGGTGTGGGCGGGCCCGCGCTCCCTGCGGGCTCGGCGGCTCTTGGTGTCCTTGGGGTGTAGCCGCGTCCCTTTGATCCCCGCCTCTGATGTCCGTGGCTGTCTCCTCTCCTGTGCGTCTATTTCCAAATACCTTCCTTCTCTCACAAAAGCACCAGCGCCCGTCAGGGCCCACCCTAGTCAGGAAGCTCTCATCTGGAGCTCCTCAGCCAGCCGCACCCACAGAGTCCCAGGCAGGGGCTGTGGGTGCCCGTGAACTTCAGGGAGAAGGCGCCTCCACAGGCGGAAGGCGTGGGGGAGGCGCCTCCTCGCAGGTGCATGGCCGGCTTCCCTCCGCGATGGCGTTGTCCGTGGTGTTGGAACAGCCCATTTGTGCCCCCCCTCCTTGGGGGTGAGCCCCTTGGGGGTGAGGGCTGTGTCCGCTCATCCCTCTTCCCCGCCCCAGGACGGGTCTGCAGCCCAGCGGGTGCCTGGGGATGTCCAGTGAGCACGATGAAGGAGGGAGTGGGGAGGGGGGAGACGGGAAGGAAGGGAGCCAGGGAGGGAGGGGAGGGTTGGAGAAGGAGGTCACTGAGGCGGGGCTCTGGGGAGAGCGAAGCCTGTTCTGCCGCCTGCACCCCCCTCCAGGCCCCTCGGGACTATCTTCCTGCGTCCGCAGCTGTGCGTCCAGGGCCCAAGTCCGAGGGCAACTCGTAATCAAGACCAATGTACCTGTTACGTGTGCTCCTCCTCTTCCCTGCACCCCCCCCCCCCCATCGCACCACGCGTCCGTCCTCTGCCTCTCCATGCCATGGCCACTCCATCCCTCCTTCCATCCACCCATGTGCACATTCCTCCTTCCTGCCTTCTGTTCATCTATACCTCCATCTTTTTTTTTTTTTTAATAGATTTTTACTGATTTCAGAGAGGAAGAGTGCCGGGAGCCGGTCCATGCTTGCTGTTTCAAGGGACCTGGCATATATGGCATACTGTTTTTAATATGTTTGCTCACCTTCTTGGCACTATGTGTTTTAACCAAGGTCTCTGAGAAAGGTTGTTTCCCCAGGTAGGGATTTTCCCCTGAAGTTAGGGAGGGAATAAAACCTCTTAACTAAGTGCCAGGCGGGTAATTAATCACTTTAACTATGAACAATCATGCTTAAGCTACATAATCTTTACTCCCTGGAATGGAGATAAGAAACGCCCTAACCTTTGTAATAGAGATTGATAGGATTGAATCAACTGGTATAAATACAGTTGTAACTAGACAGCAAGAGTCAGAACTTAGAATACAGAACTTAGAACACAGAACTTAGACACAGAACCTACACACAGAACCTACACAGAACCTAGAGACAGAACCTGGCTGGAGATCCTAAGCAGAACTTTGTTGGAGATCCAGACCAGAACTTGGCTGGAGATCCTGGCTAGAGATCCTGGCTAGGCTGCTGATCAACTGAACGCTATCTCCGTGTCATTCCTTCTTCGCCGACTCCATCCACACCTTTGGGGACCCCTGGACCCGCTGGGGCTGGACCCCGGCAGAAGAGGAAGGGAGAGAGAGATAGAAGCATCAATGATGAGAGAGAATCATGGATCGGCTGCCTCCTGCATGCCCCCTACTGGGGATCGAGCCCACAACCTGGGCATATGCCCTGACCAGGAATCAAACCGTGACCTCCTGGTTCATAGGTTGATGCTCAACCACTGAGCCACACCAGCCAGGCTATCTCTCCATTTTTCATCCATGTATCCATCCATCACACCACCTGCCTACTCTTCTATTCCGCCATTCACCCATTTTCCTTCCTTCCTTCCTTCCTTCCTTCCTTCCTTCCTTCCTTCCTTCCTTCCTTCCTTCCTTTCTCTCCTCCCCCTCCCTCCTCTATCCACCACCCTCCTCTCTCCACATTTCTAATCACCCCCCTTCCCTGGGGTTTCTCTTGAGGAGCCGTGTGGAGTGAGTGGGGACACGGACAAGAACCAGTGGCCGGCAGAGCGGTGGTGGCAGGCGTGGGCGGTGTGGGGCCAGCAGAGGCCCGCCGGCCGGGCTGAGGGGAGGCTCAGGCTGAGGGAGGCTCACAGCGAGACTGTCCTTGCAGTTTGGTGGAGGAGCTAAAGGCCAACAACCCGGACTTCCCGGAGGTCAGCCGCGGGATCTATGTGCAAGAGGTGGCTCCCAACTCCCCGTCTCAGAGGTAGGCTGCCCCGGGAAGCGGGGAGGCTGGCTGGGGCGCGTGGGGCCCGGGCTGGCCCTGCTTCACTGGCCTGGGGCTTCCTCGGAAGACATGATGGGGAAGGGGGTGGGGGAGGCCTCTGGCCTGGCCTGTGAGTCAGGGGCAGGTGGAGAGGGAGTTTCCCTCAGAGCCCCGACCATGCCCATCCAGGGCTGAGTGTCCCCTGGCCTCGGCCGGAGCGCCACCCTGAGCCTGACTCTCCTGCACCGCGGCTGGCCTAGGTTTTCTGTTCTCCCGTCTGCAAAATGGGCGTGTCTCAGCCTACTGCCCGCCCCCCGCTCCCAGAGACCTGTCACATCGAGTACTAGGGGAAGGTTGACTGTTGCGACAGCCTGAGCTGAGGCAGCTGCACCCTGGGCGGAGGTCTCCATAGCACGCGGGCCGGCTGCGGGATGGCTGGCTCCCAGCTGTCATCTGGGAGCTGGAGACAGTCCACCGGGGCTCCGGGGCTGCTCTGAGCTGGGCGTTCCACACGCATCATCTCAGCTCCTCCTCACGGCAGCCTGGGAGGTGCCGCAGACTGCGCCTACCCATTTCTCAGATGGGGAGACTGAGGCTTAGAGACGTTACCCCTGCAAGTCACACAGCCGGCACGTGTAGGCCTTGGTAGTTCAGGCCAGACACCTGACCACTGCCCCGCCCTGCCCGCCCACCTCGGGCGGCGGGGAAGGTCGCAGCGAGCTGAGTGCAGAAGGCAGGCCAGCCCGGCCAGCCCTGCCTCTGTGCCAACATCTCAGTAACTGTGACAGCCCCAGGGTCAACCCCCTGGACTCGCTGTCACTGCAGAGCGTGCTTCCCTGCAGGACGCAGATGTAGACACCAGGCTCTGAGGGGCAGAGCCCTGGCCCGGGCGCCCCGCCTGGTCCACCCTTGGGACTCGGGGAGGAATAGACATTTGCATCCTGGTGTGTGAGCCTGGCGGCCAGGGCACTCACCTTCCCGGCGGAAATGGCTGTGCTGTTAGCCCTCCTGCGCCCAGGGCAGGGGCAGGTTACCGGGGAGGCACACTGACCGCGTCCGTGTCTCTTCTGGCCGCAGAGGGGGCATCCAGGATGGCGACATCATCGTCAAGGTGAACGGGCGGCCCCTGGCGGACTCGAGCGAGCTGCAGGAGGCCGTGCTGACCGAGTCGCCCCTGCTGCTGGAGGTGCGGCGGGGCAACGACGACCTCCTGTTCAGCATCGCCCCCGAGGTGGTCCTGTGAGGCGGCCGCCCCGTCGCGGCACCGGAGCCACTGCCTCGCGGGTCAGGACAGGACGAAGGACCGCGGTCGGTCCTCAGCACAGCCGGCACCGCTCCGGCCGTCCAGGGACAGAGCCATGGGCTGGGCTGGGCCAGGGCCCGAACCCCAGCCTCAGGGGGGCTCCTCCTGCTCCTGGTGCTCACAGGGCAGCCACTGCCCCTCGGACAAGCGTCCCAGTCCTCGGTGTGATTCCAATGTCGGGCAGACGCCTTTAGCCCCCGGAGGCCCGCCCCCACCGCCCTGCCTCTGCACCTCGTACCTCTGTCTGAGCGGCCCCCGCTCCCCCCCACCGCCCTCCCCCACGCTCACCTCAGGGCTCGGCTCCCAAGCCCCCGGCCCCCACGTCGAGTAACCAGGACTGTCTGCCCCGCCAGCCTGGCGTCCCTTCAGGACGAGCCTGGCCTGGAGTGGGCACCGCAGGGACGTCCCCTGGCTGCCCGGTGAGCCCTGTGGCTGGCGTGAGGTCCCCTCCCCTGGCGGGAGAGAGGCTGGCAGGGGGAGCTGGAACCTCGGGGGGCGGGGGCGGTGCTGCAGGACCGAGCACTGAGCTGTCCTATGGCGCTACGGACCCCGGATCCCCCCAGAGCAGCAGGAGGCACGGCCCGTCAGCGGGAGCCGCATCCCGGGACCTGTGAGCTTTGCTGTAGTCGCCCACGTTGCTTGCCTTGTGTTTCTCTACTGTAAGGAATTAAAGTTTACAAGCACACGCCCTCTCCATCTCTGCCACCTCGGCCAGGTGCCGGAGGCCCGCGGCCGCCTGAGAGGAAGGAGCCTGTGTGTGTGCGTGTGTGTGTGCGTGTGCGTGTGTGTGTGTGTGTGTGTGTGTGTGTGTGTGTGTGGCCGGGCAGGGTCAGGGGGGGTCTGGGCAAGGCGGGGTGGGCCTGGCCTGGCTTGGGAGAGAGAGCAAGCTGGGGGCGGGACGTGGAGGGCCCAGCCATGACCTTGCTGGGCTGGGCCTTGGAGAGGGGTCTGGAGTCCAAGATCAAGGTGGGGGCCTTGGCTCCCGGCTCCTGGCTCCCGGCTCCCGGTGCTCTGCGGGCAAGAACAAGCCCACGGGGCTTCATATGGGGCAGCAGCCACCTATGGCGACCCAGCCTCATCCGACCCGCTCACCCTCCAAAGGCCCAGCCCCACAGACCCTCACGCTGGGTTAGGGCTCAGCATGTGGACGTGGGGGTTGGGGAGGGATAATTCAGTCCATAGCTCTGAGGCGGGAGGAGGAGGAAGCCAGTGGGGGTGTGGCAGGGAGCTGGCGGCCTCTGGGGCTGGGGGTGACGCCCCAGACCTCTGAGGAGCTGGGAGCCCCTGAGAAGCACGCCGGCCCGCGCTCCAGACCCGCGCTCCTGCTCTCGCTGCCCCGGCCCCCGGTGCTGAGAGAAGCTCGGCCCAGGGAAGAGGGACCCAGGCTCCGGGCCCAGAACCGCCCCTCGCGGCCGCAGGGCGCCTCGGGGTGGTGGGGGCCGGCAGGGCCGGATCTAGAGAGGAGGAGTGGAGGTGTTCGGGAGCCCAGCGCCCGCCCAGGGAACACCAGTGGCCTCGTGCATTTCCAGCGCCCAGACGGCCCCCCGGCTCCCGACAAGGGGAGCTACTGTGGTGGACATGGGCTCCGTGGGGTTCCAGGCCTGTCCTCCCCCAGCCACCAGCCCTGCCCCCCAGACCCCCCCTGCCCTGCATGGGGAGCGTGCCTCACAGCTGCCCCACAGCTGTGCGCGGTGAAAAACAACGTTTTCAGAGCCGCCAGCTGCCACCATTGTGCAACCTCCTGGCTTTTAACAGGACCCCCCCTCCCCCTCCCCTGCCCCCACCCCCCATGAGTGGGCTCACAGCCACCCTGCCTGTCCCGGAAGCTGACCAGGCAGCACCTGCAGGAGAGGCACCCCTTTCAGCCTCGAGGCCCCTCCCTAGGCACCCGGAACCCGACAAGGACAGGGTCGGACGGAGCGTCCAGGTCCCCGTGTCCTAAAGCCCCGTGGGACAGAGGCGGAGACTGAGTCCAGCGAGAAGGACGGGGTCACATGTGAGCTGGTGGCTGGCCTCCAGGGGGCAGGGCGGGGCTGGGCAGACAGCTGTGGCCACAGCTGCACAGCACAAACATCCGCTGGGGAGGGCGTGGGGGGCCAGGACCTGCAGGACCGCCCTGTCCTGTGAGCTCAGGCCGTGGGTCAGCGTCACCCTCCAGAGCCCCTCCCAGCCCCCCGGGATGAGCGAGTCCAGAGCAGAGAGACTGAAGGTGGAACTTCTGGGGGGGGCAGAGTGGAGGGAAGCGGGGCGCCTGGTACTGCCACCCTGGCCCTGAGCAGTGGGGACAGGGTGGGGACCTGCCAGCAGCTGCCTCAACTCCGTGTCCACACAGTGTCTGGCTACAGGGACTCCCCGCCCACACCCTGCAGGCAGCAGGGCGCTCAGATGAGCATCCGCCACTCACAGCCCCAGTGGCTGCCCCGCTCAGTCCCGGTCGCCAGGCCCTGGGAGACCCACTGCTGCTCTCATTTCTCTCCTCTCTCTCCCCTCTCAGCCCCCACCTTTGTGCAAGCCGCTCCCCCAACCTGGACCCTCTCCCAGGCTGCCCTGGCCACACCCACTGACCACACCCTCTGTGGCTGGGCTGAAAGGGGCCCCATAGGGTCCATGTTGTAACCCCCAGGACGTAGGGACGGCCCCTCACATGATCGAGGGGACCTCGCAGCCGCGGTCAGTGAAGGGTCCTGAGGTGGGTGGTCACCTGGATTCTCCGCATGGTCCCCTCCCCCGGTGCAACCACAGGGTCCTCGTCGGCAGGAGGCAGGAGGCAGGAGGCAGGAGGCAGGAGGAGGGGACGTGGCGACGGAAGGAACGGCCAGTGATGTGAGCAGCGGGCGGAGGGACCTCCAGAGGCGGAGAGGCCGCCTTCTCCCCGAAGCTTGTTACCCACTTACATTTAGATTCGCAATCCAGCCTGGGCCCGTGTGGCTCAGTGGATACAGCGTCGGCCCACGGACTCTGGGCTCGACCCTGGTCAAGGGCACGTACCTCGGTTGCAGGCGGGAGACAACCAATCGATGTCTCTCTCTGTCTCCCCCCCACCCTTCCACTTGCTCTAAAAGGCAGTGGGAAAGTATCCTCAGGTGAGGATCAACAACAACACAGTGCTAGTAGGCACGCAGCGCCACGGGCACTGGCTTCGCGCAGGCGTGCGGAGCGCTCAGCTTCCGTTCTCCCAGCGGGCGTGGGGAGGGCCGACTGTCCCCGCAGCCATTTGCTGCACAGGCAATTCCTCCCTCCTCCGCCATCAACCACGCTCCCGCCCGCGGGCACGTCTGTGTCCGTCTCTCTCTCTGTCTCTGCCCCGGCCCCACGCGGTCGTCACGGCTTAGCTTTGGGGAGCTTTGCTGCTCAGCACACGCTTCCCGCCGGCACCACGCTCCTCCCGACTCTGCTTCCTGTGGACGTTCATCGAGCTCCCCCTCCTGTGGACGGGCCGACGGCACTGGCTGTACAGATGGGGGTGGAGAGAGGTGACCTACGTATGACGTTCAGGCCACCGACACGCGAACATGGGTCTCCCCCACTCACCTCCGTGGTCGTTCATTTCCCCGATGGTGTTGCATCGTGTTTTGTGGAGACAGCTTATAGTTGATGTTGTAAATAGTATCCTTTACATATTTTATATTTTCCAACTATTGCTGATATTACTTCTTCTAAAGTTCTAGAGGCTTTTCTATACCGGTCTTAGATCTGGCAACCTTTTAAAATTCCTTGGCAATCGGACAATGGATCTACAGATCCTTTTGGGTTTTCTACATAATCAATCACATCATCTATAAATGATGAATTTCGTTTCTTCCTGTCGGATCCGCGTCCCTTGCTTCTCCTTCTTCTTGCCTCATAACACGACGGCATGTAGACCCACCAGTCACAGCCACTCCCTCTCGGTCCTGGCCTCGGAAGGAACCTTCCCACCCCTCACTCTTCAACAAAACATTTGCTGCTGGTTCGTGTCATTACCCCTTATTGCCTTAAGAACGTTCCCTTTTATTCTTTGTCTGCGAAGCGTTTTTATTACGCGTGATTACTCAATTTTTTAAAAACGTGTTTATTGGTTTTGAGAGAAAGAGAGACACGTCGCCATGAGAGAGACACATTGACGGGCTGCCTCCTGTCCGTAGCCCGGGACTGAACCTGCAGCCTCGGTAAGTGTCCTGACCCGGAGTTGAACCAGCGACCTTTCAATGCGGACCACGCTCCACCCAGGTGAGCCACCCCCCCAGGCTGGGTGTTGAGCTCTAACCGAAGCCTTTTCTGCTTCTACTAAAAGGATTAAACGGTTTCCTCCTTTGTTCGGTGAACGTGGTAAAATCCCTGGATATGAAGGTATTTTATCGGCCTTGCATTCCTGGGCCAAGCCTCATTTCACTGTGAGGTGTTGTCCCCTTGAAACCTTTCCGTGACTGTTTTGCTTGGGCTGTCGGCGTGGGTAAGTGAGCGGGCCTGTAATTTCCCCTTTTCCTCCTGTTTGCGTTGGCGCTGGCTCCGGGATTAAACTCACCACATCTATGACTCGGACAGTGTTTACGCTTTTTCTGTTCTCCGGGAGAGTTTGTGCAAGACTGGCGTTATTTCTCTCATCAAGGGCCGGGGTGGGGGGAGGGGGGAGAGGCAGAGGGGGGTGCGTTGCCTGCCTTCCCGCCTGTCTGCGTGCCCGCCCCCTGCAGTTGGGCCAGTACGAAGTTGTCTTTTGCCGAGATGTAGTGCTCCCTGCTGCTGGCATTTTTACTGTATTTGGGTAGGAAGCATCGATACGTTGGGCCGTGCCAGGGCTGCCGAGGCCCGACCTGGCCTCCGCCGCGGGAAGTCGCCGCCTCCGCCTGCGGTCCATGGCACCGGCCGCTCCAGGCGTTTCTATTTTGGTGTCTCGGAGGGGCCGCTCCTGGATGGGGTCCAAGTTGGCCATTATCTTGACAACGTGTTTGCGTTTAGAGCGGAGTTGGTTCTAAAAATAGCTCTGGGAGAGGTGGCTGCTGAGGCCGTACTCTGTGTGGCCGGGCAGGTCTGGGGCCCGGGATGGGCCTTGAGGTGAGGGAGCACATGCAACACCGGCCTGCGGGCTCCGCGACCCACCCCGCCCACCTCCCCTGACTCCCTGGGCCAAATGCTCCCGCTCTGGGCTGGGGGGCCTCCTTGCTCCTCCCGCTGTCAGATCACCTGCCTGACTGTGAGCTTGTCTCCTCAGCGGCCTGTGGCCTATCTGTGAGCTGTGAGCTGTGAGCTGGAGAACTGTGAGCTGGAGGCCAGCTGAGGCCTCACCTGCCTCTGCCGCCCCAGCGGTGTGACCGCAGGCAGTCGCCCTCCCTCCCGGGGCCTCATTATCTGCAGGGAGGCGGAGCAATCCCTCCTCACAGGGCGGTTGTGAGCCTCAGAACTGCCAGGCACCGCCCCCCCCCCCCCGACACCCTCCCGCCCGCTTTTCCTGCTGCCCTTGGACTCTTGTGTCCACATGAGCAGCCCCTTCACCTGGTATGGGATTCAATGCCGGGGAAAATAATGCCTGCACCAGAGGTTTCATTGGGGTTGAATGGGGTAACTCAGGTAAATGAGGGAGTATCCCCCAAATTTTAGCAACCAGCATCATCACCATCACCACCATCACCACCACCACCATCACCATTACCACCACCACCACCACCACCACCACCATCACCACCACCACCACCATCACCACCATCACCA